CAATAAGCCCCCACGAATAGCTAAAGCAATTCTTGGGAAAAAGAAAATGGGAGGAATCAACCTCCCTAACTTCAAACTGTACTACAAAGCAGTAATAATTAAAACAGCATGGTACTGGAACAGAGGCAGAACTGCAGACCAGTGGAATAGGGTTGAATACACTGACATTTCCCCTCAATCATATGATCATCTAATCTTTGATAAAGGTGCAAGTAATGTGAAGTGGAGTAAGGAAAGCCTCTTTAACAAAGTTTGCTGGCAGAACTGGACGGCTACATGCAAAAAAGTGGGCTCAGAACTCTGCCTAACACCATGTACAAAAGTAAGATCAAAATGGATTAAAGACCTCAACATCAGACCAGAAACCATAAGGTACATTGAAGAGAAAGTTGGCAAAACCCTCCATGACATTGAAGCTAATGGTATCTTCAAAGATGCCACGCCACTGGACGAGCAAGTGAAAACAGAGATAGATAAATGGGACTATCTTAAACTAAGAAATTTCTGCACCTCAAAAGAAACAGTGACCAAAATACAAAGACAGTCTACAGAATGGGAAAGGATATTCGCCAAACACACATCTGACAAGGGGTTGATATCAAGGATATATAAAGTACTGATTGAACTCCAGAAGAAGAAAACATCCAACCCCATCAAAAAATGGCGCAATGAAATGAACAGAAACTTTCTCAAAGAAGAAATCCAAATGGCAACAAAGCACATAAGAAATGCTCTACATCATTAATCATCAGGGAGATGCAGATCAAAACCACAATGGGATACCATCTCACACCTCAGAGACTGGCCCACATCCAAAAGAACAAAAACAACCGATGCTGGCGTGGATGTGGTGAGAAAGGGTCACTCCTTCACTGATGGTGGGAATGTCGACTGGTTCAGCCCTTCTGGAAAACAGTATGGATGATGCTCAAAAAATTAGAAATTGAGCTCCCATTTGACCCAGCAATACCACTCCTGGGAATATATCCCAGAGAGGCAAAAATGTATAGTCGAAGTGACATCTGCACTTGTTTGTTCATTGCAGCACTCTTTACAATAGCCAGAAACTGGAAGAAACCTGAATGCCCAAGAATAGATGACTGGTTAAAGAAACTTTGGTCACAATGGAGTACTATGTAGCTGTTAGAAAAGATGAAGTCATGAAATTTATATACAAGTGGTACAACATGGAAAGTATCATGCTAAGTGAAATGAGTCAGAAAGAGAGGGATAGACATAGAAAGATTGCATTCATCTGGGAATATAAAGTAACAAAATATGAGATTAATACCCAAGAATAGCTGAAATCAACACCAGGAGGATTACTCCATAGCTTAGAGGCAGCCAGGCATTCTAGGGGAAAGGGCAGCTCAAATAGAGAAGGGAGCACTAAATAAAGGATGTTTGGAGGATCCTCCCAGGAGGGGAGATGCATGTTGAAAGTAGACTATGGACTGAACATGTTTGCCACTCAAAGTCTCTTTTGCAGACCACAAAACCCAAAAGGAGAGAGAGAAGACAAGGGATCGCCCTGCCACAGAGGCAGGGTGGGATGGGAGGGATGGGGGTGGGAGGGATATTATCCATGGTGGTGGAAAATGGGCACTGGTGGAGGGATGGGTATTTGATCATTGTATAATCTAAACCCAAGCACAAAAAATTGTAAATCTACAACTGTACCTCATGGTGTTTAGGTAAAGTTAAAGGTAAAGGCCCTTCCGTTATTCGTCGATTTGCTCGAGCGGGCCCAGTAATGTCTCCATTGGAGACTTTGTTGTTACTGTGTTTGGCATATTGAATACATCACGGGGAGCTAGCCAGGCTCTGCCCGTGCGGGCGAGATACTCTCGGTAGCTTGCTGGGCTCTCCTAGAGGGGCGGAGGAATCGAACTCGGGTCGGCCATGTTGGCTGCGTGCAAGGCAAATGCCCTACCGCTGTGCTATCGCTCATGGTGTTTAAAAAAAAAAAAAATATATATATATATAAAAAGAAAATAGCTCACTTACCTGGTACATTTCAACATTGCATTGTATTCCTGTTTTTCCTGTTAGAGTGAGAGCTGGGGAACTGATTTTCCCTCCTGTGTCTGGTGCTGCTACTCTCAGTGTGTAGCAGGTGTTTGGGAAGTACTTACTGGGCCCCTGCCTGGCTGCTGTTCACCGCCCTTGTAGGTCCCAACCAGCAACACCCTACAGGAAGCTGCACTCATTTCACCTCTCAAAAATGTGGGATGGAAGAAGCTACAGCTTGAAGCTTTGACTAGTATCTAGAGTATTTTTCAGTGTATCTACTGGCTTTCTATATAAGCTATAAATTGCTTATATTTTTATCCATAAATTCCAGGAATAGATCTGAAAAAGAATTTATTGTCTTTTTCTGGAATAAGTAACAGGAAGAAATCATCTTACTGATGGTGTTGGTGAGGGGCCTGAGATATGACTCCAGAACTATACCTCCTGTATTAGTTAACAACAGCACAATAATGCGACAGTAGCACATTGCACTTGGGAAAAGTCTTAGTGGAGATGTGGGTTTTTGTATTTACAGATACTGCTGCGACACTATAATTGTTAAGTCTTTTTTGGGGGGGGGGGAGGTCACGCCCAGTGATGCTCCTAGCTCTGTACTCAGGAATTATTCTTGGCGGTGCTCAGGGGACCATATGGGATGCCAGGGATCGAACACAGGTCAGTTGCGTGCAATGCAAACACCCTACCCGCTGTACTATTGCTCCAGTCTCATTAAATGATGTTTTTGTATGCATTGGATTCACCTCTGTGTGTGTGTGTGTGTGTGTGTGTGTGTGAGTGTGTGGTGTGTGTGTGTGTGTGTGTGTGCGTGTGTGTGTGTGGTTTGGACTTTTTTTTGGGGGGGCGGGGCATCGCCGGTGATGCTCAGGGTTACTCCTGGCTCTGCACTCAGGAATGACTCTTGGAGCTGCTCAAAGGGCCATATAGGATACTAGGGAGGAACCTGTGTTGGCTGTGTGCAAGGCAAGTGCCATCCCTGCTGTACTACCGCTCCCACCCCGGTTGGACTAACTATTTTAAAAGTTTGAGTGCCAGGGAGATAGCTCCGAAGGACTGGGTTGCATAGGACTGGCATGGACGAGCCCTGGGTTTGATCCCCAGCACCCCATGGTCTCTTAAGTCCTGCCAGGTTTAGCATGTTGGCCCTGAGTACTGCTTGTAGAAGCTAAAACAAAACAAAAACAAAAAACAACAACAAAGCAGAACAATAAAAGATCTGTGTTTCTAGCCTTGTTTTTTTTTGTGTACTATAAGCAAACACTGTCTGCTCACAAATCTGAGGCTCAGGTTCTACTGTCAGCTCCGTTTTACGTTAAAGTGCAACCCACATTACATAACTTCTCTGCCCTGGCGTTGAATCTGCAGCCTAGACAGTCCTCTCCCGAGCTGGCGTTGTTTCCCACAGTGCCATCTGCTGAAGGTTCCAGCACAGTGCATCTGACAACTGGCAGGTCTATATTCTGGGCTAACCTTGACTCAAAGCTTGGGGTTTTGAAGCAAAAGAGGTGGAGTGGTGTTCTCGCTCCATTACTCACTAGCCAACTGGATTTGGGGAGCTTATGTTTCTGTTTCAATTTCCTCCATGGTAAGGTGTAAACAGTAGTATTCAGAACTGTGGGGAGCGAGTGAACTAAATGTCAGACCCCAATGCCATTGACTAAGTCCTGTGACATTTTTATGTTCCCTCGAGGTCAGTGATGTGCGTTGAGCTGGTCAGCATGCCTGCCTTAGAGGCCAATTGTCTTTATTTGCTGCAGCTGAAAATAACGGGTTAAAAATGAAATGAATTGTGTTTCTAGGCAAGGGGTGCTCCACCCACTCTGGGAGAAATAATGTCACACAGATGGAATAGGAAAAGGTCACGTGCTTTTGTCCATGCATGTTCACTTCTGTCTATTCAAGCATGTAGGTATTTGTCCACCTCTTTTTTCTGGGGGATGGGGGGGTTGGGGGGCTCTCCCAAGTGTGCTCTAGGGTTTCCTCCCTTAAGTCCCCAGCTGTGCTTCAATTCCAGCGCCCTGGCTGCCTGGGGAAGATGAGGGCCAGCCCAGTGGTGCTGGGGCCTTCAGGGCCACACTCACCCGTGCTCAAAGGACCCTGTGGTGTTGGACATCAACTGGGTCCTCCTCACATAAGACATGTGCTTTAACCCCTGCATTAGTTTTATTTCTTTCACTAGCACTAGGCCCTGCATTTGGGGCGCCTCACTTCCCTTCATAGCTCTTATTTTCCAGCAAGTAGGAAGGCCGGCCACTTTTTTCTTAACAAAACTTTTTATTTTTATTTTATTTTTTAAATTTTTATTAGTGAGACATCATGAGGTACAGTTATAGACTTACAAATTTTTGTGCTTGGGTTTCAATCATACAATGATCAAATACCCATCCCTCCACCAGTGCCCATTTCCCACCACCACGGATCCCAGTATCCCTCCCACCCCCCACCCCTCACCCCTCACCCCCATCCCACCCTGTCTCTGTGGCAGGACATTCCCCTCTGTTCTCTCTCTCCTTTTGGGTGTTGTGTTTTGCAAAAGAAACACTGAGTGGCAATCATGTTCGGTCTATAGTCTACTTTCAGCATGCTTCTCCCATCCTGGGAGGATCCTCCCAACACCCTTTAATAACAAAACTTTTTAAAAGTCAATTTTATTTTTATAAAGACGTTCATAGTAATTTATCATATTTACTACTCAAACACCAATCCCACCACCCTTGCACCTCCGCACCCCCACATTTTCAGGGCTGGCCACTTCACGCCACCGACTCCGGAGGGCGGGCCCAGGGCAGGCAACACCCACGAGGCGAGGCTCCTCCCCCCACGCCCGGCCTCTCCAGCCCGAACCGAAGCCGGCGGCACCTAGGACCCCGCTTCCCTGCGGCCGCCCTGGCCCCGCCTCCCGGCGCCTCCGCGCCGCGGGATTGGCTGGGGCCGGCTCGGCCCCGCCCCCGGCCCCGGCCGCCGCCGGCCTCCCGGGCGCCGGAGCGGCGTTTGCGGGCGCGGGCTGCGGGGCTGGCGCGGGGCCGGCCGCGCTGCGGGCCATGGCGCGCCTGGGCGCCGTGCGCTCGCACTACTGCGCGCTGCTGCTGGCCGCCGCGCTGGCCGTGTGCGCCTTCTACTACCTGGGCTCGGGCCGCGAGACCTTCTCCAGCGCCACCAAGCGGCTCAAGGAGGCCCGCGCGGGGGTCCCCGCCGCGCCCGCGTCGCCCGCGCCCGGCCCCGGCGCCAAGGCCAAGAGCCTGGAGGGCGGCGGCGGCGGCGGCGCGGGCCCCGTGGACTATCACCTGCTCATGATGTTCACCAAGGCCGAGCACAACGCCGCGCTGCAGGCCAAGGCCCGCGTGGCGCTGCGCTCCCTGCTGCGCCTCGCCAAGTTCGAGGCGCACGAGGTGCTCAACCTGCACTTCGTGAGCGAGGAGGCCAGCCGCGAGGTGGCCAAGGGGCTGCTCCGGGAGCTGCTGCCGCCCGCCGCCGGCTTCAAGTGCAAGGTGAGTGGGAGGCGGGCTGGGGGGGAGGCCCTGGCCCCGCGCTTGCTGTCTGCCTTGCGCCTCCCAGCCGCGCTCCCCCTCCTCCCCGTCCCGACCCGTCCCTGGGCGCGTTCCAGCGGGCGGTGGCTGCGGGGCTCACCTCCAGGCCCACCCCGCCCCGCCATCCTTCCCTGTGCCAGTGTTGCAAGATTGGAAGGTGCCACTAAGTTGGCACCTCTCTCAGTGGCCCTCTGGCTGGCCAGGAGGATGCCTGCTGTTTGAAGGCAGCAGTAGCAGCACCGCCTGTGCGCTCACCGGGACCCGGTCCTAGCGACCGAGGGTGCAAGTGACGTGTCCCACTAACTCCGTTAGGTGTGTCAGTGGGAGCCCCAGTTCCCCCACCCGCCAGCCTGAACCAGCTCATCCTCCTGCGCCTCTGCCCTTTCCCCCACCCTCGCGGGCCTGGAGAAGCTCGGAGGTTCCGGGAAGGGAAGAAAAGCTCAGCGAGGCTGCAGGGGTCGGCCACCTTTTGCTACCTCGCCCACCAGTTGCCTCTCCCCATCGCGGCCTCCTCCTGGGTGCTGCTGTCCCGCAGAGATCCAGGCCCAGGCGGTGTGCGTTGCTACGTTTGGATCTGCCGGGCTCTGCGCGGGACTCAGAAGTCTGAGAGCTGGAGGGGGGCCCAGAGAACTGCTGCTGGACCCTGAGGGAGGTGTGGCAGCTGCAGCAGCTGCCGGGACCCTGCAGGGTTCCAGAGCTAGCGGTGGCATTTCATGGCCCACAGAGACGAGCTCCAGCCCCACAGAACGGCAGTCCCTGCTGTGCGCTTGGCTCTCTCCGGCCGGCTCCCCCCCCCCCATCTTTCCTGTACTGGATGTTACACTACAGCCGAGGGATGCACTGGGGCTGGAGCCTGCCCACCCTGGAGACAGGACTGTCCTGGCCCCGCTTTTCACGTGGGAGGGCCATGCAGGGGCCAGATGGCTGTTGTTTCTAGCACTTTCCATTCTCCCAGGCGTCAGCTTCTGTCATCCCGTGGTCAGGAACGCCACCTCCACCTCTTGATCTCCTCCGTTTGCAGGTTCCACCCTTTCCCAGAGCCCTCCGGGAGCCCCCGTCTGGGTAGCCTGCCCTGTCCCTGGTGCTGTGTGTGTGTTGGGGCGGGGGGGACTGCCCACCAAGGGCCCCAGCACAGGGCTGGCTAGAGGACTAGGTCCTTGCGCTATAGTGTGTGCCCAAGGTGGGGAGGCCACTGTGGCAGATGACCTGGGGGGACTTGGTAGCACCTCCTGAATGTTGGGAACCAGATGGCCGAGGTGTGGGTTGTCAGCTGTAGCGGAACAGCACCTGCCAGCTTCTCAGCTATGCATTTGGTGAAGGTGTTTCCTTCCCTGATGAAGTGTGCTCTTCCCCTTTATGTGTGCGGTTCTGAAAACTTCGGCTTATTTTGTCTGTGATTACTGCTTTCTGCTCTGCTTCATACCTTCCTTTCCCTCGGTCTGGAATAAGCCTTCCCCACCTCTCCACCCCCCACCTCACTCTTCTTTTATATTTTGGTTGGGCAGGGGGGCAACAGTACCATCCCCCTTGCCAGGGGCCGCTCCTGGTGATTCTTAGCCAACCAGTGTAAGCATTTCGGTGTTGGAGACCTCAGTGCTGGGGACCTCCAGTGGTACTGAGATGCTGCCAGAAGCATGCCCAGGCAGTGCTGGGGAGTCAGCTGGTGTCCCCTGCCCCTGTCACGCACCTCTGACCCCTGTGTCAGCTGCCCAGCCCTGAGCCTTAGCCCCTGACTCTGCTCTCTGCTCTTAGCTGGAAGGCTCTAGGTAGGCAAACCTTTCCTGAGACCCCCCAGAGCCACTGAGAGTACCAAGCACCCTCCTCTGCCATATCTGTGACAACTTGGTAGAGGATTATCTACTAAACCCTTAAGGACACAGACCCAACCTCCCCTCATGGTATGCCCAGGACACGCCATCCCCACAGGGGTATTGGGGTTTGCTCCTCTTTGACAGCTGACTTCTCAGTAGTGCCCGCATAGGGGCTGCCATTGCATCTCTGGGTGTGTCTGTGACCATCCTCCGCCGAGTTCAGTGCCGCTCCTCACTTCCCTGTGGGCCGACCATCCTCCAGGCTGCCCTTGAGGCTAGTGCGAGCTACTCACTTTCCCCCTGACCCTCCTAGCACTGCTGGCCAGGGACAGGCTGCCCCATGGCCTTGCTGACAGGTTGCGTTTGTCACTCACCCCTACCTGGTACCCGGCTGGTCTTCCAGCTCATTCTGGCACTCCAGACCCACAGCCTCTGACCTCAGTGTCCTCACGTGGCCGTTCTCCCTAGCAGCAGGGAAAGCTTGCCCGTCTCATCCGTTTCATACTGCTGTGGTGGCTCTTAGCCCGAGCCAGTGGTTGGCAGGTCCCGCCTCAGTGGTGTGTGGCACCTCTGAAGCTTAGGGAAGATGTCTCTCTTCCATCTGCTGGCCTTGCTGTGTCAGAGGGGCCGTGGGAGCCCCCAGAGAGGGGTGAGGCTGCTCTGAGCTTGCTTTCTCCAGCACATGCAGTTTGAGGTGGGCATTTGGCCTGGCACGGGACCCTGGTGAAAGCATTAGGGTCCAGAGCTGCTTCCAGCTCTGTCTTACAGGCCCTCTAAAAGCCCCCAGCCCAACACGCCTGGTCCTCGTGGTGCAGAATGGACGCTGGAGCTCTTGCGCTCACATCTGCATTGTTTTGCCAGGATGAAGGAAGACCCAAAGCAGAGTGCCCAGTTGAAAAAGCGTGCAGGGGGTGGCCAGTGTGTAGCAGCTAGGGTAGAGCACACGTCTGGCATGTGCCAGACCCTGATTTCATCCCTGGTGCCACGGATCCCACCTCACTTGACTACAACCATTGAATGTGGCTCCCACAACTGACAAGCAAAGTCGAGAGGTTCCGTGAAGCTGGAGGGTAGGTTCCGTCTCTGAACCTCAGAGGCCATCCTGGCAACACTCAGCTGTGCGTGCATGTGTGTGTCTACGTGTGTGTTTGTGCATGGATGCATGCATGTGTGTGTATGTATGTACACACACGTGTCTGCACGTGTGTCCGTGAATGGTGGGGGCCCAAATCCACTGCTGTAAGGGCCACAGCCATGGGTCACACACAGTCCTTGCCTCCCAGGCACTCAGGCTGCCTGGCATTACACCTGCACAAGCCAGTTTGGAGGGCCTGGGGTGGGCCCTAGAGATGGCAAGGGCTGGGCATTCTTCTTCTTTTTTTTTTTTTTTTTTTTTTGCTTTTTGGGTCACACCTGGCGATGCACAGGGGTTACTCCTGGCTCTGCACTAAGGAGTTACTCCTGGCAGTGCTCAGGGAACCATATGGGATGCTGGGAATCAGACCCGGGTCGGCCATGTGCAAGGCAAACGCCCTACCCACTGTGCTATCTCTCCAGCCCCAAGTTACTCCAGACTCTGCGCTCAGGAATCACTCCTGGCGGTGCTCAGGGGACCATGTGGGATGCTGGGAATCGAATCTGGGTCGGCCGCGTGCAAGGCAAATGCCCTCCCCGCTGTGCTATCACTCCATCCTCAGGCTGGGCATTCTTTTTTTTTTATGCTATTAAATTTTTTAATATATTGTTTCATACTGAGTTCTTCAATGTAGAGAAATATTTTTAAAACTTGGGTTTACAATATTCAATAATACTCCTTTTTATATTTTTGCGTTAGCACAGCGGTAGGGCGTTTGCCTTGCACGCAGTCAACATGGCCAACACGTTCGATTCCTCCGCCCCTCTCAGAGAGCACGGCAAGCTACCGAGAGTATCTCGCCCGCACGGCAGAGCCTGGCAAGCTACCCGTGATGTATTCGATATGCCAAACACAGTAAAAACAAGTCTCACAATGGAGAAGTTACTGGGCCCGCTTGAGCAAATCGATGAACAACGGGAGGACAGTGACAGACAGTGATAACATTATGGCTAATACTTAAACAAAAGCAAATTTCATGTCCAGAACTCAAAAGTGATGTGAAGAATCAGCATTATAAAGTTTCTCCCTTCTATTTATTTATTTATTTATTTATATTTTCACTTTCCCTTCACTTTCCCTTACTTCTTTTTTCTTTCTTGTTTTTTTTTTTTTAAATTTTTATTAGTGAGACACCATGAGGTACAGTTGTAGACTTACAAATTTTTGTGCTTGGGTTTCAGTTATACAATGATCAATTACCCATCCCTCCACCAGTGCCCATTTCCCACCACCACGGATCCCAGTATCCCTCCCACCCCCCATCCCCCCTATCCCACCCTGCCTCTGGCAGGGCATTCCCTTTTGTTCTCTCTCTCTCTCTCTCCTATTGGGTGTTGTGGTTTGCAAAAGAGGCAATGGGTGGCAATCATGTCTGGTCTATAGTCTGCTTTCAGCATGCTTCTCCCATCCTGGAAGGATCCTCCAAACACCCTTTATTTGGTGCTCCCTTCTCTATCTGAGCTGCCTTTTCCCCTAGCAGTGTGGCTGGCCTCCAAGCCATGGAGCAAAATTCCTGGTACTAATCTCGGCCACTCTTGGGTGTTAGTCTCCTATTTTGTTACTTTATGTTCCCCAGATGAATATAATCTTTCAGATGACATAGACATATGTCATATGTCTATTATGACATAGACATAATCTTTCTATGTCTATCCCTTTCTTTCTGAGTCATTTCGCTTAACATGATACTTTCCATGTAGCACCACTTATATGTAAATTTCATGACTTCCTCTTTTCTAACAGCTACATAGTACTCCATCGTGTAAATGTACCAAAGTTTCTTTAACCAGTCATCTGTTCTTGGGCACTCAGGTTTTTTCCATATTCTGGCTATTGTAGAGTGCTGCAATGAACAAACAAGTGCAGATGTCACTTTGTACATTTTTGTTTCTCTGGCATATATTCCCAGGAGTGGTATTACTGGGTCAAATGGGAGCTCAATTGCTAATTTTTTGAGAATCATCCATACTGTTTTCCAAAAGGGCTGAACCAGTTGGCATTCCCACCAGCAATCA